GGGGGGGGGGGGGTCGACAGGATCTCATGCTGTTTCTCCCCGGCTTCGGTTCCCAGCCTGTCCTGGAGGTGATCTGCTCTCGGATGCGCTACATCTCCTCCCAGATCGAGCGGCCCATCCGGATCGTGGCCCTGAGCTCCTCCCTCTCCAACGCAAAGGACGTGGCTCACTGGCTGGGCTGCAGCGCCACCGCCACCTTCAACTTCCACCCCAACGTGCGCCCTGTGCCCCTGGAGTTGCACATTCAGGCAAGTCTCCCTCCCGCCCCCCCCCAAACTGTCTCTTCCTTGCTCCCCAGGAACCAAGGGAGCCGCTGCCTTTCTGCTCGGAGAAGGGGGGACCCATCTCGCCTAACACGGGCCAAGCTGAACGGCGGCCTTTTTCCTCGTGCCTTTCTGCTCGGAGAAGGGGGGACTCGTCTCGCCTAACACGGGCCAGGCTGAACGGCAGCCTTTTTCCTGGGTTCCAGGAAATATTAGGATCACACTGTTTTAGTTTTATTGTTATTATGGTCCCTGATGAGCAAAAAACATTAAGCATGTTGCAGGTTAGCTTCATAAGGGCAGCCACAACACTAATGCAGAAGGGGAAAAAAAAAAAAAGGAATTGTTATTACGGTCCCTGATGAGCAAAAAACATTAAGCATGTTGCAGGTTAGCTTCATAAGGGCAGCCACAACACTAATGCAGAAAGGGGGGGGGAAGGAAAATGAGAGCTTAATATCATTACCCATCAAATCCTTGCATATCTTGCTCGCAACTGCAAGGAATTTTGTGCACGTCAATGGAATCTGAGGGTTAAGGCCAAAAAGAGAGATCTTCGTTTTAGAACACCCCGAAAACCAGGTAAGCAGAGGGAGAATGAGCTGAGTACGTGGTTCAGGGTAGAACCAGCCGCGTCCCATCATGTGTGTGTGGTTGATTCTACCGTGCTGTCCCTGCGGGGGCCAGCTCTCTCTGCCATGGAGGCATTTTAATACCTCCCATTGATAACCTCTGGGGGAAAAGCATGCCCTCTTGCTAGTAAGGAAGCCCTGGAGGTGGATCAGTCCCTCCAGGAGAGAGAGAGAGAGGTAGGCAGCTGGAGCTACAGTCTACCTGCGGCGCGAAAGTTGGGAGCACTGCTCATTTCGCCTTGTCTCTCCATGCCAGAACACACCCACCCACCCCCAGTTTGACAAGTGCAGTTGTCCAGAATTGAACCTGCGTCTGTCTGAACGTCAAGCAGGTGCCTTTGGACCGAGTGACGGCCCTTTCCACAAACTTCTCCTTCCGTGAGAATTGGGCCTCGCAGGCTCGTTATCCCCCTTGTTTTCTTTTCCGCTCCTGCTCAGGGCTTCAACATCAGTCACACGCAGACCCGCCTGCTGTCCATGGCCAAGCCGGTCTATCACGCGATCATGAAGCACTCCCCGAAGAAGCCGGTCATCGTGTTTGTCCCATCTCGCAAGCAGACCCGTCTTACGGCCATTGACATCCTCACCACCTGCGCCTCCGACGTCCAGAGACAGAGGTACGTAACTCATATCTCCTTCTGGCGAACGAGGATCACGCAAGAATGGTTCTGCCTCTGTTCTGTTGGGCACAGTAAACAAACACCCACGGTTCCTGTCTCTTCTTCTGCCAAACTTATTCAGCCCCAGAAGGAGCAAAGAGATGGGAAGAGCCAGTTTAAGCCAGAAAGCTAACTTCTGTTTCTTTGAGATTCCTGAACCCTTGGCCATATTCTGTCAGGTACATCTTTCTGGCAACGAAGGCTGGCAACTTGATTCCTTTCCAAATGGTGGCATTTTAAGAACCGTCAGCGGTTTCTGAATCACAATCCACGTTCCACCTCCAGTGTGGATGCTCAAGTAGAGAGGAAGCAGCTTTTCAGGATGGGGAGAGCCCTCATCCCTCTTAAGAGGTTCCCTTTTGGTGACGTCCCTTCAGAATTAAAAAAAATCATATTTTTGAAGTGTGGTCATTTTGGGCCCTTTCATTTCATGGTGCCTTTGATGATGAGATCTGTCTGCGGGGCTGAGGGTATGGGGTGATGGATACCTAGGTTATTTGGGGGCATGGAAGGTTTGAGTGCTGAACAGATCTTGGGCTAGAGGTGGAGCAGAAGTAAAAGCCAGAGTTTATAAAAATAAGCGGCTTTCTTTTCAAGAGGCTCCCCTTTCTGGCATGCAGTTTCCCCTCGATTTACATCAGCAGGGGAAGCCTTCCATAAGCGGTCAGTTCAGACTTCTGGCAGGAATGATCTGATGTCCCATCAGACTCTCTTGAGCAGGCAGGAAGAGGGCAGGAGAATAATATGGGATCAAATCAAAGGAGAGAAGGCGGGGCTGTGCCCAGCAGAAGCCCCGGCCTGGCTGAGTCACAAGGAACGTGGTCCTCAACAGAGAAAATGTTCTTCCCCAAAAGGGGGTTTGGGAATCGGATCCCTTTGGTTAGCTACCATCTGTCCTGCTGCTCCTTGGCAGGTTCCTTCACTGCACAGAGAAAGATGTGGCCCCTTACTTAGAGAAGCTGAATGACAACACTTTGAAGGAGACGCTGGTCAATGGCGTGGGGTACCTGCATGAAGGGCTGACCCCCTTGGAGCGCCGAGTGGTGGAGCAGCTGTTCAGCTCAGGTAAGATGCGGAGGAGCAGAGTGCAAAAAATAAAATAAAATAAAATGTCTGGGGGAATCCAACTTTGTGTGCTGAAACTTGGGAAGGGGGGATGGCGGCAGCCCTAAGTGTCCCCTAAAAGCAACGTCCAGCCCCTGAGAGCTGAGAAAAGAACCCACAGAGGTCAGAAGGAGATCTCTTGGTGTGTAAGGTGTTGCTTGTAGGTTGGGAGGGGGCAGCTTTAAACTCTGGGAATGGCTGACGGAAGAAATGGTCTCCAGTTCTCTACGTAGAGGGAAAAGGAATGTTTGAACTGGAAGAGATTGGTCCATCGAGGTTATTACATTGCATCTTTTGGCAAGCCGGAGCTCAAGTGGAGCTCTTGAACATTTCAGTGGCATCGACACCTGCTCAGTGAGCAAAGGCATCTCTTCCCTCTGGGCCCCAGAGACACAATGGTGTGACCCCCCCCCCAAGAACCCAGCCATCCTGGAATGTAGAGCAAGCTCACTCTCATGAACTTCTTTACATGCACACCAAACCCTTATTGTTGAAAGTCCCTGTGCCATGTAACAAGGGGAGCAAAGCCTCTTGTAATTTTATTTTAACTACACCTGAAGTTTTTCCAATACCGAATCCTGGAGGTAGAAGGGTCCTCTAAGGCCACCCAGTCCAAATCAAAGTATATCTGCCAGGTGGTGGTCTCAATTTCTCTTGAAGGACTCCCGCCCTGGAGCGCTCACCCCCTCCCTCTGAGGTCATGGGTTCTGTTGCTCTAACAGTTAGGAAGTTTTTGGTTCCTGGGTAACCTGAGTGTCATGATTTCTTGTTCTGTACTCCTGTTTGGAAGTTGATGGGTCCAGCAGAAATGCAGGCAGGTCAGCCTTGCGGTGCGAGTCGCAGGGTTTGGACACCCGTCAGCTGAGCTGGGGCTAAGCTGCTCACCTGTCCGGTCCTTCTGCTTCACTTGATCCACAGGTGCCATCCAGGTGGTGGTGGCCTCGCGGAGTCTCTGCTGGGGAATGAACATGGCCGCTCACTTGGTCATCATCATGGACACCCAGTACTACAATGGCAAGATCCATGCGTGAGTGATGGGGGCCCTGGGGGAGGCGGAGGCAAGGGTTCTGGGCCAGTGGGTGTGGGGGCAGGAGGGGTAGGAAAACCCCTGCCCTGAGGCGGCTGGGATGCGGGAGGCCTTCCTTCCACATCCTCGGGGGCAGCGTCTCGGCAGGAGCAGCTTTTGGATTTGCTGAGGAAGAAATCCAGGGGTGAGTCTCAGATTGGGAAGAGGGTTGGCTTTTTAAAAGGGGCTCTGATCTCCGTGCCTCAGCAGCATCCACGGGGGTGGGGAGTGGGCCTTGGAACCCTTTCCCTATGGATGGGGGACCCTAAGGTCAGTTCGATGTCTGGGCTGGGGTTTAGGAGATCTGCACTCTTGTCCTTCCCCTGAGCCATGAACTCACACCTTGGGCTAGTTCCCCCCCCCGGGCCTGTTCTGCTCTGCAGGCTCGTTGTGAGGAGGAAGTTGGGAAGAGAGCTCGGTTCATTGGGGTAGAAAAGCAAGAAACAAATGTAGCAAGAAAATTCAATAGTTATGAACAGGGGTCCTTACCCCCTGTCTATGCCAGGTACGTGGACTACCCCATCTACGACGTGCTGCAGATGGTGGGCCACGCCAACCGCCCCTTGCAGGACGATGAGGGGCGCTGCGTCATTATGTGCCAGGGCTCCAAGAAGGTAAGCGTGCAAGAGAGAAAGAGAAAGAGAGAGCAAAGCAGGGGGACTCACATTCTCTCAGGCTGGATGCCCGGAGGCGTTTGGGTCCCCTCGTCTGTTTTTGCACGCAGCGTAGGTGTGGTTGGTTTTTAGAGCCTAGTTCCATCGTCTTCTGTTCTGGGTTTGGTGGTGGATTTTGTCGGCGGGAGGGGCTGAAAGGCCGGAGCCACTTGCTTGCAAGACTGATGTGCTGTTCTGTCTGTCCGGTCCCAGGATTTCTTCAAGAAGTTTCTGTACGAGCCCCTCCCGGTGGAGTCTCACCTGGACCACTGCATGCACGACCACTTCAATGCGGAAATTGTCACCAAGACCATCGAGAACAAGCAGGATGCCGTGGACTATCTCACCTGGACCTTCCTGTACCGCAGGATGACGCAGAATCCCAACTACTACAATCTGCAAGGTGAGAGCCTGAAGCTCTGATCTCTGCAGGAGCTTTTCTTCTGCGCTCTCTCTCCTTGAACCCAGGGGAAGGGAAAGGACTGAAGCGGAAGACGGTGGTTGCTTTTTTGCATTATCATTCTCCAAGGGATTCGGGCTAGTAGTTATGGGTCTGAAAGGAAAGCCTTCTTTGTATCTCCCTGCGTGAGCCTTCTAGGTGTTTAAGATCGTCCGAGGAGGCCCTCCTGTCGGTCCCATGGTCGGTGCAGGCATGGCTGATGGGGACACGAGAGAGACGGGGCCTTCTCAGTGGTGGCTCCCGGACGATGGGATGCTCTCCCGTGGGAGATCAGGCTCTCCCTTTTCTCCTTCCATCAACAGCTGAAGACCCACCTTTTCAGGCAGGCTTTTCAGTCATGACGGAGTTCTTAAATATCTTTTTAAAGTTAAAAAGAGTCTTTACTATTTACTCGCTTTTAATGATTAAGTTGTGTTTTAATTAGCATATAGGTTAGTTGTTTTTGAACGTTTCACTTTGATTCTTTTTAATATTGTGAGCCGCCTTGGGGTCCCCTTATCAGGAGAAAGCGACCTCTAAAACAAACAAACAAATTAGTGGAGCTCTCGTCATTGTTGACTTAACAAGTCCTGTTCTTTCAGTCGGTCGTAACCTAATTAGGAGAGCCTGAGGTCATGAGTTGACTTAACAAGTCCTGTTCTTTCAGTCAGTCTTAACCTAATTAGGAGAGCCTGAGGTCATGGGTTCCACTATCATACTTCTCTGACAGTTAAGAAGTTTTTCCTGGTAACCAGCCTAAATTTGGCTTGAGTCCATTCTTACGTGTCCTGCACCCTGAGAGGATCAAGAACAGATCCTGTCCCTCCTTTGAATGACAGTCTTCCAAGTCTTTGAAAAGTGCTCTCCTCTCTCCCCACTGTCTTCTTTTCTCAAGGCTGAACCATGCCCAGTTCTTTCATTCTTTCCATCTTCTAGGGCAGTGGTCTCCAACCTTGATCCTCCAGATGTTCTTGGACTACAGCTCCCAGAAGCCTTCCCCACCACCTCTGCTGGCCAGAATTTCTGGGAGTTGAAGTCCAGGAACATCTGGAGGCCCAAGGCTGGGGACCACTGTCCTAGGGCTTGGTTTCCAGTCCCCTTTGCCATAAGGTGCCACGGATTCTTGTCCACTTCTTCAGATGCATCAAGGAGTAGAATTCACAAAACATACTGCCAAATTATTGCCCAATAAAATTTGAGTAGAATTCACAAAACATACTGCCAAATCTATTGTCCAATAAAATTGTATGTGTGTGTGTGTAGGGTGGTGGTAGATTCTTGGCTGTAAGCCTTGCTCGGACGGCTGGTCCTTTCCCACCGCCCTGGCGCCACCGCTGCTGACGTGGTCTGTCCCTCCCGTTTCAGGCGTTTCTCACCGGCATCTCTCGGACCACTTGTCGGAGCTGGTGGAGCAGACGCTGAGCGACCTGGAGCAGTCCAAGTGCATCAGCATCGAGGACGAGATGGATGTGGCACCCCTGAACCTGGGCATGATCGCGGCTTATTACTACATCAACTACACCACCATCGGTGAGCATGGGCTGCCGGGAGGGGGAGCCGTGAACCGTCCCCACTGCTGTTAGCCGCGCGCCGCCTGCCTCTCGAGCTCCTGGCCGTGTGCCTGATTCTCTCTCTTCCTCTAAACTGTTCTCCTGCAGAGCTCTTCAGCATGTCCCTGAACGCCAAGACCAAGGTGCGAGGCCTGATTGAAATCATTTCCAACGCTGCCGAGTACGAAAATATTCCCATCAGGCATCACGAGGACAACCTTCTGCGGCAGGTGAGGGAGGGGGCTCTCTTTCTCTCCCAGCGCACAGGATCACAAAAGATGGCTGGATGATCCTTCTGGGTGCTGGGCATAGCTTGGTGGGTTCAGCGCAGGCCTCTTTGCTCAGCCACCCATCCAGCCTGGGGATGGCGCTATTCTATTATAGGTTGACTTCTTCTTAACTAAAGAGAAACACACACACACCTTTCTCAAAGGGTAGCAAAACATCATCTTCATCGTTAAAACACAAGACACAGTCTTTGGCTGGTATGGTAGAACAGATACAAGTTTTAACTAAAAGACAAAGAATCAGTTAAATATCACGGTTGTTATTCTTGTCGTCCTCATTACTTAAAAAGCAAAACGGTAGCCTTCAGCCAAGCTTAACTGCTTGTGGAATATAGAACAGGATTCCATAAATGGGATTCACTCCCACGCTGGGTTGAGCTGAGCTCAGCCTGCTGTGTTTTGAGAAAGAGGATGAAGAGATTATTGTTTAGCAAAGTTTTGTCTGGAAAACAGATATACTAGTCTTGAAGAATGGAAACTCCGTTTCTAGTTGAATGGCTTTGGATCAACTAGACAGTAGAAAGTTTTCTTCTTCTCTTGTGATGCTTACGCTTGGCCCTGTCCTCCCAAGCTGAACAGTGGGAGTGGCCGGACAGATAAAAAGGAAGGGCTTGTCCGCACTGTGTGTCGTTACACTGTGGAACTGACTGCTACAAGATGTAGGTGACAGCTTGCAAATTGGATACATTCGTGAGGGGTAGGGCCCCTCGGTGGATATAGTTTTGCATCACTTCAGTGTCAGAAGCTGTATGCCTCGCTCTGTCTTGGGGGGCACAATATGGAGGGTGATTTGCTTTGTGTTTCCTTACTTTTCTGCAGAGAAAAGTAGAATGAAAGCATGCCGGATAAGCCACAAATACAATTTTATTACTCCTCCTGTTTGGAGAAAGGATATAATAAGATTTGCATTTGCTATTCCAGAGCAAAGCGCTGTATTTCTGACAAAAATGTAGTGAAAATAGCATGTTACATAAAGAAGTGGCAACTGCCTGGGTCTTGGTGGTGAGCAGAATAGGCTTGTCGGTTCTGGCTGCTCCTTGGCCTGCGTGGGGGTGGGTGGGTCCTCCCTTCTGCCCCAGGGTCTCTGGCACGCTGCCGCCATCTGGCCCAAGCAACCCTTATCCCTCCAGCTTTGCAGTTTATGCGTGGAGAGAGAATGGCATCAGGCCCTTGGAGATAGGTGAGAAAGGTCTCCGTGTTCTGATTCCTGCTTCTCTCCCGTCCTTAGCTGGCCCAGAAGGTTCCCCACAAGCTGAACAACCCAAAATTCAACGACCCGCACGTCAAAACCAACCTCCTGCTGCAGGCCCACCTCTCCCGGATGCAGCTGAGCGCAGAGCTCCAGTCGGACACCGAGGAGATCCTCAGCAAGGTAC